CTGACCATATAGCCCAAGCAATAGTTGTTGTTAATCAGACAGGAAAACTCCGATTTAGATACACTGGACATCCATCTCTTAACAAGCGACCATTTAGTCCAGCCGGCATTACAACAGACAGCCAGAGTAAGATCCTGACTGCAGACTGCGACAACAACTGTATACACATCCTAGATCAGGATGGACAGTTTCTCCATTACATCAGTTACGTAGATAACTGTGATCTACAGCGTCCATGGGGTTTATGTGTAGACACCAGAGACAACCTCTTTGTGGCTGAGTGTCGCAGTGGTAAACTAAAGAAAATTCAATATATGTAAATACCTCATATTGTCATAGAAAGTTTCTTTAAGAAAGGAAATAAGATAGTAAGTATCTTGTAGATTTTTCTACACCTCTTTTCCTAGAATATCTTTATGTGAAAGAGGGTCCAGATTATAAATAACACAGCTTTATACAGGTATTTGGCAATATTATGTTTAGCGCAAAGATTAAATAAAAAAAATATATTGTTGCAACATGGTTCTTTTCTATTATGTTTATAAATTTATGTTGGTTAAATTCAATGAAAAGATCAATTTAAGATTGATTTGAGCTGTACATATATATTCATAATCTCTCTGAATGCCGATATTAAACATGCCACATACTTTTTTTCAGTTATTTTACGAATGCTACGTATGTACATGTACCTTAATTAAGTCAGACACTTGGTTAACTAGCAATAATACGCATTTTCATGACATTCAATGAAAATAATTTTGGTTTAAAATAACTTAATTAACTTCATAAAGATTCATTTTTTAAAATGTTCTCCTTTACATGCTACCATTTAAGTCATTCAAATTTAATTTTCGGACCCCACGCACTCGTATTTATACAAAACAATACAAATGTCGTTGATTCTAATTTCCCGACTTCAGAAAATTCTGTACGAATTTCTGTTTTGTTTCCGCTCCATTTTTCGTATTTTGAGACTGCTTACATTACAAACAAGAAAAAAGCAGGGGAAAATATTATCTGCTCAATTTTTACATGTTCTGCTTACAATGTTGCCTACAAAAAGTAATGCTTTTATTATTTAATCACGAGCCAGCTTCTACAATTTTTTTTCTTCAGATGTTTGATGAATAAGAAATTAAATTGATGTGGCCTAAATCCTCGTTAAATTGTGTGGATATGCCCACTTGGAACTTTAATAAATACAATATATCTCAGTGAAATGTTTGAGGATAATGAACAGTATTCGAACTCAAAAGTCTATTAAACATTATGAGATAGAAGCGGATCAAACACTGACCTCCAAAATGTCAGTGTTGAGATCAGGTGCTATGAAGAAGCGAGCTTCCCCTTCTTCTTCTAATTTCTTCTAACTTTTAATTCTGAAATTCTTGTAAATAGTCTCATTAGAGATTGATAATGGTCAGTGTGCAAAATATTTAGATCTGTCCGAAAGGAACAAATATCCTCCGCTTAAATTAGCTTTTAAGAGAATTTAACACCCTTACCCGCTGTCACGCATTTTAATGCATATACCATTTCCTATTTTAAAGCAAAATCACGCATTTACCGTTTCCCCGCAATCACGCATTTTCACGCACTTTAAAAAGTTCATTTAATCTTCAATTAATTGCCAAATTCCAACTATTTTATACTTGCTTGAATCTCATAAAATAAGAAAAGTTTTTTTCTAATTAAAATATTATTTCAGAATATTATTTACGCTAAACTTTAGAGAAATTTGTACCCCGCTACAAAGTGAGTGCGGGGAAATGGTAAAGTAATATTTCTATGACGCGAGGATTCAATGTATGTTGCATAGTAATTCTGTACGTTGTAAAGATCGAGTTAAGTTGCCGAATCACTTAAAATTTAGGGAACGTAGACGGATTCACAATAAAGTCAAAATAATTGTAAAATCATATTTTCTTAGGGTTTTATTTTTATGGTTTGAAGAAAAAACAATCGGTTCGTTGGAATTAGATTTGAATTAAAAAAAAAATTATTGTACATCACATTGTAAACTGAATATTTCGTGGTGGTCATGAATTCATTTATCTTTTCATACCTCGAATAAAATTTGACAAAAAGTATCCCACACAAAAAATATTTGATTTCAAAATACATTGAAAAAAATAATTGCTCATACTTTATGGAGTGTCTGTTGTTTTTCTCCTGTTTGTCTGTCTGTTATCAACTTTAACCTAGCCTATATCTATGGCGCTGTCAAATGTAAGTATGTATCACGTTAATTTAAAAAAAAGGTTTATATCATGATACAAAATGCTTCACACATTAATACAGTGCATTATTCATGTACATATTTTCAGACAAATCCATAGTGGGACTCTAAGAACAGGTAAGGAGAAAATCTTGTCTACAGACAGACGGATATGGTGACTCCAAATTAAAATACATGTGCACCCCTTAAACTTCTTTACCGGATGTGGTATAAAATGAAGGATTCTTAAATTTTTCAACCCCAGGATCCTACAAACCTTCAAATTCAAAGTACTTTACAGTATGACTAACAAACTGTTTACCCCTGTTTCAAATAGATTTTCGAATATTGTATAAATATGAACTACAAAACATACTACAAAAACAGCTCCTTTAGAAAATATTTCTAACTCGTAGCGTAGCGTCATCTCTCACACCATAAGACAAGCATTTGACGCCCCCCCCCCCCCTTTGAAACCTCAGGCATTCAGCACTCCTGATTGATGCCCTGCTGGTTAAAGAAACGTGACGATTGATCGGACAGTCATAGGCTACAAAAAGTATAAGATTAATGATTAATTCAATAATTGAGTTACATGTAAAACATTGCCAGACTTTTTTTCTGTCCTGATTTCTACTTTTTGTTCACTTTTGGTTAAAATGAAGTGATCACAATATATAGGAAATTAACGGAGTTTAAAGTTTTGTAAAGTGCTTGTTGGGCAATTCGCGAGATCTACGCGTATTCTCAAGTATTAGTGAATGCAAGTTTCATGTGTATTTCTTGACCCAAAACCGTAAACGCCTAGAATGAATGCATATTATTAGGTATAAACAGCATTGTCTGACCATTTTAAAATTTTGAAATGCGGAAGACTATAACAAACTTTGGCCTAATTAACCTTAACTAGGTGTCTGTGATAAATGTAAACATGTAGGAAACTAGCAAGTTTTGTCATTCTTTCATCGGATTGCAGAATATAATTCGTCAAGCAAAAAACTCCCTCAGATAACACTCACATTCTATTCAACGTTTGTTGCAGAATGGTCTACATGGTATTCAGAGGTTAAACTTAAAGTACAATGCTTGATATTCAAAGGGATTCCTAGGGTCATTGTTCGAACAAGAGAAATGACACCTGTAGCAAAAAACTAGGCCTTGGCTATTGGATTTTAAATTGATAATCTTTCTCGTTCTTTATTTAAGATATCTTTATATGTGAATTATGTAAGATAGAGATTGATTGATTGTCAAAAATAAAATTAAGAGTTGGGATTTTCTTTATTTTATCGCATATTTTTTTCCTCCTTTGTTCTAAGATACCTTAAAAATTCAAGGTAGCTCATAGAACTTGTTTTAGGGAAATTTGATCATTTTAACATAGACTTAATCAACCACCGAAGAGCTGAAAATGCAGGGTAAAATATTAAGAAGGTATGAGTCTACGAGAAGTGCTATATGAGTTTTAAAATATAAACCCTACCGTACCTCCTTCCATTACAAAGGATGCACTTTATTTACATTTTTCTATATTTATTTTGCTTATAAAGTGTGTGTAAAGCGACGGTATTAAAATTGCAATAACACGTACATGAACATACGCTCAAAAGGTTGAAGTACGCACATTATTTTGAAGTCACAAATGTTAAATGTCGTTCAAGTGCAACGTCATAAACGGAATTCGAGGTTTCAAATGTATTCTAACGCTTTTAATATTATTAAACCATTTTCAAACCGTCTGGGCCCCGTGGGGATCCGGGTTAGAATAGGTCCTCAGTACCCCCTTGCTTGTCGTAAAAGGCGACTAAATGGGGCGGTTCTTCGGATGAGACCGTATAAACCGAGGCCCCGTGTCACAGCAGGTGTGGCACGATAAAGATCCCTCCCTGCTCAAAGGCCGTAAGTGCCGAGCATAGTCCTAAATTTGCGGCCCTTCACCGGCAATGGTGACGTCTCCATATCAGTGAAATATTCTGGAGAGGGACGTTAAACAGTATACATTCAATCAATCAATCAAACCGTCTGGTTATCGGCATTAATAGAAAAAGGAAGTATGGATATCGTAAATTCAGATTGAAACACGGGATGATTAAAAAATTCCGTTCAAAACTTCCAATATCGCAACTGACTAATACACATAGTTATCAACTAAATAAGACATTATTTCAAATCAATAGCATACATGTATCACCATCAATATTGGCTTCAAACAACATTATGACAACAAAAGCTTTGATAACGGCATATACATGTATATACAGGCAAGCTGAAATATATTCAAATATAACTTATTTTGGGAATTCTTCGTATCTTTATTTTTAATAGCACTTACACAAAATTTTCTTACATCTAATTATAATCTTCGATGGGATACAGACAGACATTAAACCAGTCTAGTGAAAGATCTATATATTGACAGGTATTTAAATCACATGAACCCCACTACACATTCCTTAACAAAAGCAAAATGAAACAAATCAACCACTTATGATTTGAGTTTTTCATGTCATGTTTGATTAAATGTACAAGAATATTTTCTATTACGAGAATTCTATCTACCTATTTTTATCTATTGATTTCTGTAATATCAAGTATAGAAAATGAAAACATTACTTAAAAGGTAAAATTATCTTGTCTGTCTGATATGCAAGACATATTTTTTGTAGGACAAATATGGATATAAAAAAGTCTATTGAAAGTTCAATATATTGACAGGTATTTACATTTACATGGCTTAGCAACAGGTAAACAGCAGGAAGTACATTGTCAGACAGCATTTAGGGAGCCTTTTCTCTTAAGTCTCCTAAAGTCAACGTCTCATTATCAAGTTTCTCTCAACGTCAGATCAACACAGAACTCCATCAAATCTTTGCTTCAATGGCAGAATTATCCATCCCATCAAAAGAACATGGATACACAATGAAGACACCAGAAGCTGTATCCTGTCCTCCAGTCAAACCACTGCTTAATGAAGCAGAGCTCATAACCACCATAGACACTGGGTATAAACAACTATACAGTGTTACATGTCTCAGTGATGAAGAAATTTGGACATGTGGAGATGACAAAGTCATCAACCTCTACAACCTCCAGGGCAAACTACTGAAGTCAATCCAAACCAAGTCTGGGCATGAACCACGCGACATAGCAGTGACAAGGAGTGGAGATTTAGTTTATACTGACCATGGTGCAAGAACTGTTAACATTGTGAAGAATGAACAGATACAGGAAGTGATCAGACTACAGGGGGTGGGGACCTTGCTATGTTTGTAGTACATCCTCTAATGATCTTCTGCTCATCATGGATAGTGATGATGAAGAATCGAAAGTTGTCCGCTACTCTGGCTCCACAGAAGAACAAACCATTCAGTTTGATAGTCATGGAAACCCTTTGTATATAGGTGATGTTTTTAAAATGATTGATAGTACAACTAGAATTTTTTTTTCATTGGTGTACAGTAAATACATCAGTGAGAACAGGAATCAGGATATCTGTGTGGCTGACCGTGCAGCCCATGCAGTAAAAGTGGTTAATAGAGCAGGAAAACTCCGATTTAAATACACTGGTCATCCCACTACTAACAAGATATTTGATCCACGCGGCATCACAACAGACAGCCAGAGTCAGATCCTGACAGCAGATTATAACAACCACTGTATCCACATCCTAGATCAGGACGGACAATTCCTCCGTTACATTGATAACTGTGGTCTCAAGTATCCATGGGGTTTAAGTGTAGACACCAGAGACAACCTCTTTGTGGCTGAGTTGAGTGGTAAAGTGAAAAAAATCAAATACATGTAAAATATTTTATTGACATTTATTTAGAAGTCTCAGTGACTGCGAAATACAATTGGGAAAAAAACAGGCATTTGATTATATGAAAATGTAAAAATCTACTTTATATGAACACTTGTTAAATAAAGTTTTATTCCATAAAAATTATTATTTTTAAATCACTTGTACAAAAATTATTCATTTATTTTTAAATAAACATCAATATTGAAAGTGAAACATGTTAATGTGAATTACCATAATAGTTACATACAAAAGATATAAATTGGGCACATCACAAGAAAAAGGTAAATTATGATAAAAAGACAGATGATGGTCCTATTTCAGGGTATTTATGACTATTAACCATCATTTTGAAGCCAAATAAATAAAGCAGAGTATGAAGTGCAAATTAAAGACTACATTTTTTAAAGTCGTGTTAAATGTTCTCCATATTTACGTCCCTTATATATTTGTTTATTGACTCATATTTTAGAGCATCTTCTCATCTGTTACAACAATCAATGTTTAAAAAAAATCCTATCAATTTCTGACGATAATACTTTTTAAAAGATGCCACCAAATTTTCATTTATTTGAAATTATAAGTGCACGAATTTTTAAATCTTCTCCACTTAAGAATGCTTCTAAGAAACCTTGGTTTTATTTCTTCCTATGATTCTAGAGAAGTCCATATTTTACAATTTAACAGAAGGTAGGACAGACGGCAAGTGGACAATGATTCCGAATATGATCAGAAATATTTCCTAAAAATGTTGGATCAAAATACACGAATTATAATCCTGGGGTCCTTTTTACAATAGAACTTACGACTAAAACCCCTGTCACACCGGGGCTGCGTCATCATGGCGACTGCACGGCGTCCTAAAAAAATGCAAAACGCCGAGGTGATCGCAGTAGAGTCTCCTACAGCGCCGTGACAACGCGGCGAGATCTCCACTGAACGCCGTAGGGTCGCGTAGGGTCTCCAAGAACGCCAGGGGACGGCGATCACTTTGAGCATGCACAAAGTACGCGCCGTGTGATCGCAGTCTGATAAGAACGCAGTAGAAACGTAGTATGATCGCTGTAGCAGCGCGGTGAGATCTCCAACAAGCGGGAGCTCCGTATAACCGCCGTGAAGTCGCACATGATCGCGGCACGAACGCAGTGATAGTAGACTGCGCTTCCACGGAGACCCCACGGAGATGTCGCGGAGTCCTTGGAGATGTCACTACGTTTCTATCGCGTTTTTACGGCGCTTCTAATGAGATTTATCGTCTTGTGGTTTTTCGGCTGCGATTACACGGCGACAGCACGGAGTTGTCACTGCGGTCATTGCGCTCCCACGGCGTTTCTACAGCGTCCGTTGGCGATCATAATGCGCTTTCACGGCGTTGTTAGAGCGTTGTCAGCCAGCTCACAGAACAAGAGCCATTGGATCATATTTGATCAGCTATGATTTAAACGTATTTGTTGCACTAGGAGCATTTATGTGAAAAAAATGGAAGAGAAAATTACACAAGCACTTGTTCTGTTGTTTCAATTAAAATTTGTAGAAAACTTTTCGGTGTGTTTATTATTTTTTTTTTTTTTTTACATTAAAAATAAAATAAAGAAAATCTAACAACACAACTGAACCGATGAAATTGAAAGAAAAGGAGTTTATTCATAAAACTATTAATAATTTAGTACTAAATTATTTAAATATAGAACATTTTTGATTATTAATATTTCTTGGCATGATTAGAAGTCTTTTCATCGTGTAACTTGAATCTTTAAACAAAAATGTGTTACATTCCTTCTAAATAAATATCAATGAGTATAGAACGCATTGTGAACGTATGGTGAACGCAGCCAGCGCAGTGAGAACGCCGTGAACACGAGGTGAAAACTCCTAACGCGCCGTGAAAACTCCTCGGAAGCGCAGTCAATCGCCGAGAGATCTCCGTGGGAACGCAGTAGAACGCCGTAGAATCGCGTCCGTCGCCGTAAGGACGCCGTGACATCTTAATATTGTGAAAAATTAACAGAAATTTGTGCAATTTCCCTGCGATTCCACGGCGATTTTAAAAATTTAACAACGCCTTAATGACTCCGTGTGAACGCAGTTAGTGTGACAGGGCCTTAACACCCACAACTTCAGATTATTGTAAAATTTTGCAAATTCATTCAATCTCTTTGAAATTGTTTGTGTGAAAATATCTTACCACATTCTTTTTAAAAAGTTTAAAATATTTTGAAATAATGTTAATTTAAAAGTTATATGAATAATTGAACTGGTCTTAAGTCCTTTTGTAAAACAGGTCCCTGGAATGTTACCTTACGATAAGAAACACACTTACAGAGACCATACTGTTCACTCTCTTTTTCCTATTTTTCCTCGTCATTCTGTTTACTGAGTAAAGCCAGGAGGTCAATGTAATTTTTAGCGTGGAATCCCATCGTCTCCTTATTAGAGGCTCCACGTTGAGGTGTTAGCCTGACAATAAAATAATCAAAATGGTGTCTGCATTGGTGTATTTCATTCTAAATGGTATGCAAAAAAAATCTTAACTGAACATAAACTGGCAGATCAGCATTCTATTTTTTTTAATTCACAGTATTCCAATATACTACCATTTCCAATTTAAATTACAAAAAGAACACTTTCATGTATAATTGTTTTGGGAATCTCAACTATATATATATATATATATATATATATATATATATATATATATATATATATATATATATATATATATATATATATATATATATATATATATATATATATATATATATATATCATATATATATATTTATATATATTATATATATATATATATATATATACATATATGTTTTTTATTTCCTTATCTTAATAAATCAACAAAAGAAAACACTTTCGTCACCCCAATGATTTTAGGCATTACATCACAGCGCTATATCGATTCCTGGCTGTAAATTTATACATGCATACGTAGGTTAATCACTGACAGTATTTAATGCGATTTGAAAGTCCAAACCACTTTTTCTCGAAATAATCTTAACAGAACCCCCTCCCCCAATATAAAATGATTTCTTGGATATCTATTTCTGTTGTTGGGTTTTATATTTTTTTTAAAACGGAGGGGGGTGTAGATTGAAATAAGTAGTCAGACTGTATTTCAACTAGTTTATTTTTTGTAGCTTTTCTACAGTTAAGTGCTTCTCCTTATACTCTGTTATATCCATCTAATTTGCTACAGAATTACACGTTTCAGAATAAAAACAAAACAAATTAAAAATTAGAAAGGGTGAAATATTTAAATATGGTCCCAGTTTGTCAAAATATTCCCCGACAAAAGGTAGAAGTATCATTACAACGCTTGTAAATGTCGTTTTATAAATATTTGAAAATGCAAAGGTGCAGATCAATCCATTCAGAAGCAAAAACTTTTATCAAGTGACAGGAATTGGAACACGCTAGCCTAAATAGTGTTGTAAATTTCTGAACATGCTAAACATTTTCAGAAACAAATCCTTTGAGGGAACCAGTAACAATAGTAACGTTGTTTGGCGGAAATTCATTTTTGAACAAGTGAGAGAAGATTTGCTTTAGCGTACTTCTTAATGTTTTTATTTATACAATAAAATGCTTTCTTTGTTTGTTATTACTGGAATGAACGGAAGCAGCTGTTGCAGAAAAAATACATAACCCACGTAAGCGGGTTATGTAATTTTTTTCTGCAATAGCTGCGACTGTTCATTCCAGTAATAACAAACAAAGAAAGACATTTTATTGTTTATATTTATATCTGTTTAAATAATCATTTAAAGTAGGATTAAAAAGATGATTTATTTATATTAATGATGCAAACGTATTTATACGTTTCATTGATGGAACAGCCACTGATCAAGAAATCTGTACAGGCGACATGCCTACTGTAGTTCATGCAGTGATAAACGCAATGGGTTTTCTTAAGAAATAAAGGAGAAAATATTCAATGGATGTAAATATTAATCTATAATTGACTGCCGTATTGAAAAAAGGGCCGTTATCTTTCATTGTTTACATGTAAGACATTTAGCCTTGTACTTGAATTAGCGGAAATTTCTTACTGCAAAAAAATGCTAAAAAGAATACACCGCTAAATGTAATAGTATACAGTATACTATTACATAGCTAGAATAACCCGACATAGCTTTAGATAGTGTTTTAGCTATTTGAACGCAGATTGCTTTTAATTTTATTAAATATCAGAGAATTGCAATTTGATAATATATTTTTCATTATTTAATTGAAAAATAAAATATCAATCGCGTGAATGTTAGCTCAAATACAACTTAAGGCCTAATGGAACTTATTGTCTGAAATCATCTGGTAAAAGACAATGCAAAATATAACATTACATTTAATGTACGATATAAACAACATTGTTAACATGGATGAACATATTCCCAGTTCACAGATCTGTTTCTTTTGTAAACTGTTGACATTATACAATAAAAATCTGACATAAATGTTTCTTATGATCACATTATATATCACATTAAAGCTAGTTTCTATCAAACAGAAATGATTTTAACAATATGCTATGCCATTGTTTTCCTGAATCACATAAATGAATTGTTTCTCCACCAATATCAGGAGCCTCTAAGTTGTTTTAGATTTTCTGTAAAAGAGAGAAAAAAATAGCATAATAATTCTCTTTTGCTAAGGAATAATGCAATGTGACCTTGATTATTCCTACATCAAAAATAATATTACAAACAAAAGTAATTAAAAATATATTAAAACATGTTATAAACCTTTCAATATTAATGTATATTTTCTTAAGATTTACCCATAACATAGAAGTATATTTTCTGTATGGGTTACTTACTGCTTTAGACTTAACTGTAACACTACTGTATATTTTCTGTATATTATAGACTTAACTGTAACACTACTGTATATTTTCTGTATATTATAGACTTAACTGTAACACTACTGTATATTTTCTGTATATTATAGACTTAACTGTAACACTACTGTATATTTTCTGTATATTATAGACTTAACTGTAACACTACTGTATATTTTCTGTATATTATAGACTTAACTGTAACACTACTGTATATTTTCTGTATATTATAGACTTAACTGTAACACTACTGTATATTTTCTGTATATTATAGACTTAACTGTAACACTACTGTATATTTTCTGTATATTATAGACTTAACTGTAACACTACTGTATATTTTCTGTATATTATAGACTTAACTGTAACACTACTGTATATTTTCTGTATATTATAGACTTAACTGTAACACTACTGTATATTTTCTGTATATTATAGATTTAACTGTAACACTACTGTATATTTTCTGTATATTATAGACTTAAATGTAACACTACTGTATATTTACTGTATATTATAGACTTAACTGTAACACTACTGTATATTTTCTGTATATTATAGACTTAACTGTAACACTACTGTATATTTTCTGTAAATTATAGACTTAACTGTAACACTACTGTATATTTTCTGTATATTATAGACTTAACTGTAACACTACTGTATATTTTCTGTATATTATAGACTTAACTGTAACACTACTGTATATTTTCTGTATATTATAGACTTAACTGTAACACTACTGTATATTTTCTGTATATTATAGACTTAACTGTAACACTACTGTATATTTTCTGTATATTATAGACTTAACTGTAACACTACTGTATATTTTCTGTATATTATAGACTTAACTGTAACACTACTGTATATTTTCTGTATATTATAGACTTAACTGTAACACTACTGTATATTTTCTGTATATTATAGACTTAACTGTAACACTACTGTATATTTTCTGTATATTATAGACTTAACTGTAACACTACTGTATATTTTCTGTATATTATAGACTTAACTGTAACACTACTGTATATTTTCTGTATATTATAGACTTAACTGTAACACTACTGTATATTTTCTGTATATTATAGACTTAACTGTAACACTACTGTATATTTTCTGTATATTATAGACTTAAATGTAACACTACTGTATATTTACTGTAGAATCTTTTAATTGTATAAAATTACCTATAACAGTGTTGTATATTTTCTGTAGAGAACCTTTCGTGTTCATATTCTTTCTGTTTCCATAGAAGATAGGTAGCTCATAATCCGGACCATACGCCATAAAGTACTGAAATAAATGAAATGAAGAATTCCAAGTCTCTTAAATAAGACTTGTACCAGATAAATGATGAATATCTGATTGACTGTATTGAAAACAGTGAGACTGATCTTATTTCATAAAAAGTACTCATACACATTCATTAAACTTACTTATTTAACAAAGCTAAAAGAGGATTATTTGTTTGAGAATTAGATTTTAAATTTTATGAAGTATCTATGATATTAATGCTTTTAAGTCAAAAGTCATTCTCAAATATTTTCCATTCTCTAAACATTGTAATATATATAGAGAATTTTGGAAACCAAAACAAATGGTAAATTTAAAGTATGCAACATTCTCTATTAGGAATGAAAGAAAAGGTGAGCAAGCTCACATCCCCCAACACTCCCCCAAAAGTCGAAGTGCTAAAATTCCCAGAAAAAAAATAAAGGAATTGGAATTTCCTGGTAATATGCACATCTACACATTGTGTCCTTAATATCTGCAAATTTTGTGCAGCGGTTTATGAGGAGTTGTGCTGATAAACTGTTCATTGATTCTCTATATTTAAGATATGGCCAAAAACTAAGTGTTAAAGTGTTGAATTTGCCGGAAATATGAAGGCATTGGAATTTCCTGTTAATATGCACATCTACAATATATGTCCTAAATATCTTCAAAGTTTGACGAAATTGTATTCAGCGGTCTATGAGGAGTCGCGCTGACAAACTGTTTATTCAAGATATGGCCAAAAATCTAAATTGAAAAGTGCAAAATTCCTGGAAAAAATTAAGGAATCAGAATTTCCTGGTACTATGCACATATACATTGTGTCCTATATATATGCAAAGTCTGACGAAATTGTGTGCAGCAGTTTATGAGGAGTTACGCTGACAAAAAACAGAAATGTAGGACTGATGACTGACACTCTGACGGACTGATGGACAGATTGGTCAAAAACAATATCACTTGAGCAACTTGATGCTCGGGGTATAATAAGATAATTTGGTTGACATTGCAATACCTTTTAGAATACATGTAGTTGTGACGTCAAACCTTACCTTGTGATCTGGGATTTCTGGAGGAATTTTCCGTCCACAAATGACAGCAGTTAGATGGGCCCAACATCTGGCTGTGTTAGCATTGTGGTAACCACCTAAATACATTCCAAATATATTGTACATTTTTACCTTTACCTGAAAACTATAACTGATTTCATTAAGAATTAGCATCCTAGAACTATGTGTTGATTAGCAATTTTTATTTTGATAAGATTATATACCCAAAATTATGAAATATCATAACTTTCTGACAAGGGAAATGGAAAATTTGATTTTTTCTTTTGGTTTGATTGAAAAACAGTCAAAAAACTGCAGGACAGTAGTTATGTGAAAAGCTACCTTTTGAATTTGAAGTTACAACGATAGTAGTCATTGAGAGTCTGGGTACTGTCCTTGTATATCACAGATCCAATTGCATAAGACAGAATTATAATACAAAGATATTTTACATTTGTCTTGTGTTTTCATTTCTTAAGTGTAGCCTGATTTTCATTTGGGATACAGTCTACCCTAGAAGAAAATTCTAAGTTATCAGAGTCTTTGAGATACCAAGAACAAAATATTTAAAAATATTGATACTTCCAAATTCATTTTGACATCTACCTGGTATCTGAGATATCCCTGTTCAACACCTGCTGCATCTAAATACAATTTTTTCCGGTGTTCATTGTAAGCAAGGTGTATTTTATTCTCACCTCCTCCTAATACAAGTGTAGGCAGCTTCCACTGTAGAAGGAACTGTAGACATCGGCCGTACGCCGTGTGAGTGAGATTAAAGGAGTCCATAGGGTCACCACTGAGACCATCAGCCCCACACTGACACACCACGGCCTGGGTTACAAACACCTCATGGACCTTGTGTAGGACTCTGCAAAACAATTATCTAGATTTCTTTACAATCTATATTTTTAAAATTTGAATAATTGTACGCTGCAGAGCGTAAGGGGGATATCTAAATCCACCAACCTGACACCAACTTTATATAACATGTGGAATCATTTTTCAACAATTTGATTACTACAGAACATTTATATGAATATGTCCTTTACATGTAAGTTGCCTTTTAGCTTAGTCTTGTATAAGATGATAGGATAAACCTACCATACGCATTGTTCAGTATACTACAATGATACATAAGTTATTTCAGAGTTAGGTAAAGCTCCTTACCTGCAGACCAATGGAACAAACTCTTCATCTCTCATACTGTCCAGTAGTGGAATGTTAACAGTATATCCCTTCCCTTTACCCGCTCCTGTGTCATCTAACCCCCCAGATCCTATACAGGTGTTAAATAATACACTGGTGTTGTGAGAATATTTTTTGTAGATTCTATATAGAATTTAAATCACAGTTTAAAATCAAGTACAGTGTATTTATTGAATACTGCTACATATGAATAAGAAACTTGAGCATTCCTATAAACTTCTGACTTAGCAGGTGTTTTAAGGCAATATAATGCGTGTAAAACAAACATGGGAAGAATCCCGGTGAATGTTTGTGAACTGAGACTGTCATCACCTTGGATGATGTACAAAATGCTTCCTCCACACCTGTAAGGAAAATGACTGAGAAAAGTCAAAAGAATACAAACAAACAAAAGTAAGCAAGGACAGAAATTACCAACACAGGGATTAAGAAAGAACTTTTAACATTATAACGCCAATTAAGAAATAAGGTATCATTTTTTGAGTTTTATTGAGATGTAAAACGGGTTGTTCACGTGATCAAATCCCATAAAGCCCGAAGATTTGATCATGTGCCAACCCGTTTTACATCTCAAAAAAACTCAAAAAATGATACCTTATTACTTATATTTACATTTGTGACTTATTCATACTTTAAATTTGTCTGATTGTTACTTTTAACGTGTGAAATGCGTTATTTTTTAAACCCAACGGCATCCACTTAACGCTCGTCGACCCTTTATGACGTCACAGAGAAATTACGTCGAACGTTTATCCAAACGCACATCTATGACCTCTTGACCCCATACCTGTATTTATACAGTTATAAAAACGCTTGCTTTCAGTAGTGTTATATAAAGGAAAACATTTGCAAATGTAAATATATTCGCATACCGCCATCGGCCACGCTATTTTCACCACAAACGTCCATTTTTAAGTGTCAATTATCTTGATATACCGTCACAGGTGCATGTGGTCAGTGAAGCGCGGCTAATTGGTTGACGCTATCCCTGTTGTAAAGCATGCAAAGCCAGGCAAGGTACATGCAATTAAATAATTAAATCAGGAATTAAATAAACAATGATTTTAACTTGAACTTTTATGATAATTTTGTTTTCCGTTTAATAAAAATCGTTTAGTGACGGCTTTGCCACGAAAGCGGTCGTTGTTTAAGAACATAGATAACAATATTATTTTGATGATATCTGCTTTAAACAATGCAAAATTTCCTCAAAAAATAATTATACGGTATAAATTGTGAATGTTTTATTAACAATGATGCCTTAAACAATGAATTTATACAAGAATTCATTTTACGTATTATCGGTAATATATCACAACAATCGACCCAGCATTTTTTTTTTCAATATCAGTCGTGCAGATTTACATGCATCCACATGTACTTGTCTTTATTTCATAACTGCACATTTTGTTTTAGCGAAATTGTACATAAATAATTACTTGAAGTATTTTAAAATTTAGAAATATGTTTTTATAATTATATATACGTGTACATGTAAAAATGAGAACAGAA